ACAAGATGAAAAGGCAGTTCTGGCCTAGCTTTCGGGAAGCTTCGGCGTCTGCCCTCTGCGCCCCACTCCGCGCCTGCAGCACGCGCCGGAGACCTCACGGGGGGGTGGGTCTGGTGACCGGGCACGTCGCCCGGCGCCCGCCTGCGCCCAGGCCGCGGCTCTCCGTGCTCTTGGGGAAGGGCTTGATGACCGCCGTCTGGTTTGGATTCTCCTTCTTGTTGATGTGGATGGACAGGCGCTGCCACAGGTGCTGCCCCCGGCCGCTTCTCTCGTTCTGGGCCCACGTGACGGACTTGCCATTGGAGCTGCGGAGAGAAGAAGGGAGAGGAGAGGTGACTCAGCGCGGTCTCCATGGGCTTCCCCAGTGGCGGGTGGGGAAGGGGGTTGGATTGGGAAGGACCCTTCTTGTTCCTTCAGGAGATAAGGCATCAACGGGACGCCATGGAAAGAGATCCTGGAAGTGGCATTTGCTTGCTGGTTTTGGTTTTTGCGTTCAAGTCAGCTCTCTCGTGGCTGGCCTTCTGTTGATCATTTCCACGAAAGTGGTCAAAGGGGATATTGGTAAGGGGGAAGGAGTATTTATGGGGATTCTGCAGTAGCACTGAGCCCACCCGGGAGTGCACCAGCTGGTTACACTGCAAACTTGGAGGCCAGGGCTCGCAGTATTGTGGCTCTGCGCAGACCAAGGGCTTCCTACACTTGGCGGCCTCTGAAAGGAAAGAACTAGGACCTCCACTCACCAACCCCGGCCTGGAGAGAAGGAGGAAGAGTCAAGCGTTACCAGGAAGTAGACAGTAGTTCCAGTTCAGTTTTTATTCTGCCAGCCATTGGTTGGTGTATTGAACTAGGGATTTCTATATGAATTCCTGACTTTGAAAATGGTTTTACTTAGTCTGTCTTATCTTCTGGAAAATAGAAATTCGTATGAATTTCTAATGAATTAGAACTTTATTACTTCATAGAAAATTTCCTCACCAATTTATTTTTAGGCTTAAGATTTGAAATAATTCTATGAGAGAGCATGTAGTATGTTGCCTTTGGCACCTAGCATATTACTTTCAAATTAGGGGCTTATGTATTATCTGACTAATGTTCTTTCTTAGGGTCCTTTTCCCCTCTTTTCCCAGGCAGTTTTGGTTCTACTCTGGGATCTGAAAGCTGCTCTGATGAAGACTGTATTGGTGCCTCCGTGCCTGACCGCGGAAAATGACACAATGGCCCCTGAAGCTATGTGTGGCCGGAGGATGTGGCTTGACCTTAAGGGATGGTATATGAAGAGATCCTGGTGTGATTTCTCATCATGAAGGAACTTGAGATCTCTTTATCTAGGGGTCTGTCTGGGGGTCCAGACAGCTCGATTCTAGGTGCTATGACCAAGAGATAGCCTTGGGCAGTCTGTAGATAAAAGGCTCTGGCCATCGAATTTTATCATCTCAGCAAGTGGTTATTAAACTTGACTGTGCATAAGACTCATCTAGGACATGTGTCAAATATCCTAGGCAGGATCCCAAGAGATTCTGATCGTCTGTATTGGGTTCCAAGGACCTACGCGTTTTACAAGTCCTCTTGCTCTCCAAAGTGAGTCTGCAGCAGGTGTTTTGCAAACTGAGAAACGCTATCAGGAAGCTCTCCATTCTCTCCAGGTTGCCATTGCTCCCTTGGTCTCCTGGAGGCCAAGCTAGAAGGCTAGCCTGCCTTTGCCAGGCAGGGTGCTGAATTGTGTTTGGAGCCCACCTGTCTTGGGGTTACCCAACTACAACTGCCATATTCACTCTGCCTGAGACACCCACTGCCTTGATCACAGACCACTGTTTCTGCAGCCCGTAGCACAACATGCTTCCCACCTCTTTTCCACACTGCTTCCAATGTCTTCATCTATCCTTCTGCACTTTGTGGTCTTCCTTTCTCTGCCCCTTTGAACTCTCATTCCATTTAATCTACCCAGGGCATTGCACCTTGGTGTCCTTAGGAATTGGGGAATGTGAGGTACTCTCCACCCCTACCTCTCTTTCTGCAAAGGGTGGATAGAGTATATCCAGGTTTGCTGGTTGCTCTGCATCCTCAGTAGCAGAAAAGGCCCTGCCAACCTCTAACTTTAGTTTCCAGGAAAGTTTCATGGTTTGTTTTTACATTGTACATCAACCTGACCTGCCGCCTTTTATGTTTTTAGTGCATTACTTTTCTTCTTCCCAGGTGTCCACTAACTCCTGGAACATGACACAGAATAAATGGGCCAGATTATTTATGGGGGTGGAGAATGGTTGCCAACAACCCCTTTCTCTCCTACCAGCAGGATGAAAAACAGGCATGTTGGGAGGGACAATACGTCTTTCAGTTCTCTGAGGCCACTTTAATACAAAGCATGGGCTAGAAACTAGAAGCATAACTGGATTTATTCTCCAAACTTTATCCTAGGGAAGTTCTTGCTCCCAGCACAGAAAGGTTTTGATGGAACGTAACTTTGGGTGTGAACAGTGACAATCCTTGGGATCACATGTCGCCATGCCCCAAAACATGACAGCAGATTAAAAAACCTTTGGATGAATGTGTGAGAAGGAAACTATCTTAACCAACCAATATGCACAAAATACTGATATCTTTCCTGCCATCCTTTGCTCACAGTGACCATGGTCATGCTGGAGAGAGTGCACCAGGCAATCAGAATAACAAAGGAAATGGACCAGGAAACACCAGAGACGTGGAGTCTAAATCTGAGCACTTCATTTCATTTCTTGGGTAATAAAATATATTTTTCTACAAAGTAAATGGCAACTCTTAGGGGAAAAAGAAACACCTCTAATTTATGACATTAATCTGTTTATTAGTAGAATATAGTTCCCATGAAGACAGGGACCTTATCTATCTTGTTTATTGGCACACAGATCTTAATAAGTGTCTGATGGATGAATAGGATTCTTAAGCTAACAGGGAAGTTTGTGTTGTCCTGGCAAGTGTAATGGACAAAGAATCCTAAAATCTGGGTTCTAATTCTGGATCAGCCATCCTGGATGCTTAGATAATAATAATCATCTCTTTAAGCCTTGGTAAAAAAAAAATCTATCATTTGATGAAGGTTGTTGTAAGGATGTAGAGAAAAGGGTCTAGCAAGGAGAAGGTACCTATAGATTAGTTTTTGCATTCCAGAATACTACATTTCAGAAAATACTACATTTCAGAAAATAAAAACAGTATACTCAGTGCCATTTTGAGCTCTGTTTTGAGGAACAGAGAATTCAGTGCAAAGTAAAATATATGGTAAATCCATAAAATATTTCTGGTTATTTCTCTTTAACATGACCAACTGTAACAACAAATGGAGGTTTATAGGGCTTGATCTGTGGCCTCTTTTCTCACCCTGAGCTCTGTCCTTGGATGACAGCATCTACTCCACTAAATTCCACATTATTCATATTCCACATTTTACTTCTTCCTGAAATGCTCTTTCATTGTGCTCTGTGCTCTCTGTTTTTACCTTCCTTTTTGCTTAAACTCTTCCTTTTTAAATTTTGATTTCACCTTAATTGACTTTTCTTGAGGGATGCTTTCCTGACCTACCCCTGACTAAGGTACTCAGAGTCCTGCCTTAGGTACTTAATAACTCTTTGCTATATGTACATCTCATTGCTGACTGGTGTGATCTGAAGGCACAAACAGAGGGTTCTTTGTTGTCTGTTATATCCTTAGTACCAGTGCCTTGCCTATAATACAGTAGGTGCTCAATCATATTTTGGGGCAAATAATTGGATAAATGCATTTCATTTAAAAAATCATACTGAATTGTTTTTCTGTTAGAATTAAGTTTTCAAAGTAATTCAGTATTACTTAAATTCTCTTTTTGTCTTATGGATCTATTTTTTTATAACTCAAGGTACTGAATAGTACTTAGTGTATACAGATAAAAGATTTCATTAACTAAATATGAAAACACAGATCTTGATATCTACTATGACTATCACAAAATGTTTATTCCTTTCTGTCATTCACATATATCTGTTTTAGTGAAACTTCTCAGTAGTGAAAGCTTACAGAGGCAGTATGAGCCGTGGACTCCGAATGTGGGTCCAAGATCTGGCCCTGAGTGACATTGGGCAAATAAATCACTTAATACCTTTAAGCCTCTTTGCTTATTGGTAAAAATGGAAGAAATAAACCTCCCCTGCTCACCTCACATGATTTCTGGGTGGAACCAAAGGGTCATGCACATGAGGGTACTTGAATAAGCAAAGCACCTCTGTCTGGGGATATTTATCAACCCTTCCATTCAATTGAGGCACAGTGTTGTTGATTATTACTTAGGCTGAGGATTTTTTTTAAAGCATCAGGACTGTACATTTGTCCTAGGGGCCGAGGTAAGAAGAAGGGAAGGGGACTTGTCCTTACCTGTCTAGAGCACTTCACCTTACCCACTGAATATCTTCTTCATTAGAGGAGGAGGAGGAAAGAGGCACAGAGGAGAGACAGGACAAATCATTTGCTACATCTGGGAAGGAGGACAAACGGGCCAAAACAACAACCGACACAAACACTAACAAAACTTCCTCTTTCCAGGCACCTTTTGTCAAATACAATTGTATGTAATTAAGCTATTGTTTTATCATCTATGATAATTTTCTCTTTATTTCGGAAAAAAATAAAGCAGCATTTCAATAATGTTATTTGAGGGATAGGTTTTTACTTTGTTTATTTGGGTCTGCCAAAATTTCACTTTATATCTTTATTCTCACAAGTGTGCTCTCTTGTCTTCTTTTCTATGTGGGACACAAATAATTTATTCATTTCAAGCCATCTCTGAATGTCAGTTCAATGACCTCTCCCGTCTCTCTATTCATCTGCCAAAACCTGCAGGAATTAGAGCATTCTGCTATGGCACACCATCGTTAGGAAGCAAATGTCAATACAGAGAGTTTAACCATCAAAAGTCTATGGAATTTAGAATTTTTGTGCTCATTTTAAAAGGCTGTTGAATGATCTGTATGTTTTTTTCCCGCTCAGAACTTGTTTAGGGTTTTATTAATAGCATATAAACAATTAAAATTCTCAGAGTATTTTATTTAATGGGGAAAAAAACCCCAAACTCCTAAGCCCTTAGTCTCTCTTTTGTTACTTGGCTTATTAGTACCTTCATAAGTTGCACAGTTTCAGGGCATCAGAATAATCAAATATATCCTCTGAAAATTACCAAATTCTCTTTACGAAACAGTTATCTTAATTACTAACCTTTCTTGTTTGTGATTTTGGGTGGAGGGATAGGCAGGAGAGAGACACAATATGATTTTGAGCTTCCTAATACAAAAAGTATCAAAAA